TTTTGAATTTTGTTCATCGTAGTCTCTAGAAAATCATGTCCTTTTACTTCTATCGGAGTTTTGGGGGAGCCCACGTGACGACCGACCCTAATAGTTAGGAAAATCGAGGTGAACTAGTTATTGTATTTCTCGGCAGGAGCTGCTGATCTGGGATTATTCTCGACTGAATAACCATATTAGAATCTCTTTGAGAATTCTCGTCTTTCTCAATCGTTGATCTCTTCGCGTATTAGAGTGTCTCGTTTTGAAGAGCCGGTGGACTTGGAGCTCGAACATGCCCCTTGCTATCTTTGAGACTTTTGAAACATTTGTAATTGTGAAACGACTTAAATATATATTGGACCCAAAATTCTCGTTAATTTGTAAAACCATTCCTTTTTGGTGATCTGAGATTGTAACCTTCTTGTGAAACCTTGAACCGAATGCCGGCCCTGGCTGGTGTAGCCACGTGAAATGGTGTCTGAGCACGCTTACACGTGCTGAGAGACGGGAGGCTTGCGCGCGGCCGACTGTTGACTCGCATGCGAACTGCAGCCGCCATCACCGAACGCACAAACTCCCCAGGCCAGCATATACGGCCAACCATCGATGTTTTTCCTGAACTGTTCAAACCGTTTCATGCTGGAATACTTGGTTATCCTTTTGAACCACTTTCGTCCGAGCCTTGAACCGAGAGCTCCAAGTCCCACTAAATGTGTGTAAATCCTTAATCGATGATTTCTGATTAAAGAGAGTAGTCAATGAGTCCATATGCCTTATTTAAGAGTTTCTCAAGTGGGAAAATTTGGAATGTCGTATTGCTATTGGTCAATCCTTATATTTACACATAAGGGCTGCATTCAACTCATGGAGTCGATACCTTGAGAGTATGAGCATCTTGGGTCATACGTATTGCGAGCATGACAGTGTCGTGGTGTATGTGTGGTACCGTGTCATAGCCTCTGATGGAGACACACGGTCCGTGATAAAACCGTGAGCAAGTTATCAGTATGAATCGGACACGAGACTGAAACTTGGTGTCACGTGTCCACCATATTGGTGAGATAGTCGGAGTACGCTGGCAATACACCGAACGACCTGTGGAGGTCTTGTGTGTTGTTAGGTACGAAGTTAATTGTTGATAGTCAAAGGTATATGCCATGCCGGACTGGGTTCCTTGCAAGAGGATGTGCGCCTGAGCTCGGGCAGGATTGATCATCCTCTCATGCAAGAAGGTATACATATGAGCATAGGGCGAGTCGGAGTGGGTCATGTATGTGAGTGTATGCTTTTCGAGTATAGGGTGATAGGACTAATGCGAGCGGAATCAGATTCCGGAGGAGATACCCGGATCTCATGATTGATAATTTCTGTTCGAGTCTGTTGTTTTCCTTTAGATGCATGTTCTTCGTATTTCCGAGGACGGAAATATTTTAAGGAGGTTAGATTGTAGCGCCATGTTCGATTTATAGAATTTCTCGGAAATATTTATTCTTGATCGTCAACCGGTTAAACATGTGCATAGAACCGTCCTTCTTCTTGACGAATAGAACGGGTGCTCCCCATGGTGAAACGCTCGGTCGAATAAAACCGAGATTCAGCAGCTCCTGGATCTGAGTCTTTAACTCCTGTAATTCTTTAGGTGCCATTCTGTACGGCGCCTTGGATATTGGTCCAGCTCCCGGAATAAGATTAATAGAAAACTCCACTTGCCGGTTGGGTGGACCACCTGGAAGCTGGTCTAGAAAAACGTCTATGAACTCACGAAGGATAAGAATGTCGTGAGGTGTCCGCGCTTTTGGTTCGTCTCCGACAAGGCTCACTAGGTACCCCTGGCAATCACCTCGTCGTAGAATCTTTCTGGCTTTCGCCATGGAAATAATATGGGGCAGAGTACGAGTCCTGGAACTAAATAAAGTGATCTGGTCGTCCTCCGGAAGATGAAGAGTAATCTCCCGGTTGTGAAAACGTATATCTGCATGGAAACTGGTTAGCCAGTCCATACCAAGAATGAGGTCAAAATCCCTCATCTCGATTACATAAGCGTCGGTAGTCAAGATACGGCCACCGACTGAAAGGCTGAGACTTTCGGCTTTGGCATCAGTCACTATCTTTCTTCCGGAGGCTAAACTCACCTCGAGAGGATCGACAGGGCTGACAGAACGAACCCCAATGGCATCAAGACATCGGTGTGATATAAATGAATGAGTCGCTCCAGTGTCGAATAAGGTAAAAACAGGAACATCATTTAGAATAATCATCCCAGACATAGTACCTGGGTGTTGCTCTGCTTCGGGCTGATCGATGGCATAGACACGGGTTTGTTGTCTCCCATGCTGCTGCTGCTGGGGCTGTCTCGGTGGCGACTGTCTGGGCTGCTGGGGTTGTTGAGGTTGTTGTGGTGGTGGTTGCTGCTGTCACTGCGGGCAGTCTAGACGGTTATGCCCAGGTTGTCGGCAATGGAAACATATGTTCTGGTCCATAAGACACTCTCCGCGGTGTCGTCGTCCACATGTGGGGTAAAACGGCATTGGTTGTTGTTGTCTGGGGCGTTTCTCCGTTCGTCCTGGGGTACTCTCCACTTCCTCTTTCCCTTGTTCTTCAGATGTTGGGCTGCTACTGGTTGAACAGGTGGTGCTGGCTGGGCAACTGGTTAGACTGGAATCGGAATGGCCTCCCTTCGGATGCTTGCGTCTATCTCCTGGGCCCTGCTGACTGTATCGGCATAAGTTTGGACGCCGTGTCCAACGATGTTGCGACAAACTACTGGGAGAAGTCCATCAATAAAACGCCTCGACCTCTTCTCCTCCGAACCCAATAACTCGGGAACAAAGAATCCGGTCGAGTAAACTCACACTCGTACTCGTCCTGAACGGGTACTCTGTTTAAGCGCCAAGAACTGCCACTCAAGCTCTGCGCGATAATAGGCTGGATAATACTTCTCGTGCATTAACTCCTTAAGTCGATCCCATGTACAGTGCTCTTTCTCGCCAGGACGCATTCCCCAGTAGGCATTTCACCAAAGGCGTGCATCTCCAGTCATCTGGATCTGGGCACAAAGTACGCGGTAATGCTCAGGACAGTCCATGACCTCAAAAATCATCTCGAGGCCCTGGATCCACTCATCAACAAGTCGGGGATCTCCCTGACCGGAAAACTTCTCTGGGTGGTAGTCGCGAAACTGGGCGACTACGGTGGCTTCTGAAATCTCATGGTGATCATGATCTCTACGTCGTGCCATCTGTATAGTCAAATGTTCATTACGATCAAATACAGAAATATAGCACAACTAAATGATTATTAAAGCACACAAATCTCTTGACGAGTTGCTAAAGTTAACCCGAGAAAACTAGAGTCGAATAATAAACTGGAATAATTCGACTATATCCTGAAAATACTCCATGACTGAATCGAGCATCTATACAGGTTTCTAGGGTTAATATCTGACACGCTACTGAGCATAGACTTAAACATTTGTTTATCTATATAAAACTTGTAAAAATCAGCACTTACCTGGTAGTCGACGAGGCATGAGCGTGGCGTGGTCGGGTTTTCTGAAAAATTTCTGACTTAATAAAGTATTTAGATACAAAAAAAACGTGCTCTGATACCGATTGTAACACCTCGCTAGCTTATTAAAATCAGAGTCAAATTTTCGCAAAATCTTATCTGCAAAATACTTATTAGTTTGCGAAATCGTGATTCGGGATGCTACTGTGAAACCTTTCTTTTCTGAATATCCGTTATCTTTTCTAATTTAAGCTTATTAAGAAAAACAGATTATTTCTAGTCAAGCAGGCATGTAAAACTGTATAAAATCCGACTGATAAATCGGATCAACATCTGGAAATCAACATTCGAGTTCAAAAACCTGAAAATGTCAGCGAAAGTAAAACGTGGCAAAATAAATATATACATGTCCAAAAGTCCGTAAATAGACGTATAAACTATCCCATGACAACTAGCGCAGCTCACTCCTCAAGACTGACCCTGTGACCTGAAAAAGATAATATAGTGGGGTGATATGGGATATTATATACACAAGGCTAAACCGGTCTGCTGGGCCGTTCGAGAAGGTTAAACCAAGAGGGAGCCAAGCCAAAAGGCGGGAAGATCGAACATTCAGAGAATCGACCAGGCAGGCGATCGACCAGTCCACCGCACGACCAGACTAACGATCGAGCAACCCATCGCTCGATTAGATACATGATCGAGCAACCTATTCGACCTCAACAGGTCGATCGCTTCGAGGAACTAACAGTCGGCCTAGTCATGGGCGCGTGTATCACGGGCGCGTGTAAGAGCCTCCAACTGAGTCCCAGGAGAATATTTACCCCATGTGCAGGGGGGACACGTGTCGACAATGTATTGGGTGATAGCGATAACCACCTCTGACAGCTCCCAACGCCCCGCGCCACCTCTGACATGTGCGCGGCGTGCTAGAGTACGGACGGGCAGCTTGGCCAGCCAGCTCATCCTTATCCGGGCAGCTATTAGGGCAGGTATCTCACCCCTATATAAAGGGGGTGAGCCTTTTTCCTTGAACACATTCTATTTTCCATACTTCACTTCAGTATACTCATACACATACTGACTTAGGCATCGGAGGCTCTTCACCGGACACAACCCTCGGTGTGAGAGTTATTTGCAGGTTTCCGGCATTCTACCGACAAGGACCCAGATCTATCCGTTCAAACCGGACCAGGACGTTTACACTTGTATTATTGGCGTCGTTTGTGGGGATTCTTTGTTCAAAAAGTTGTGTTTGAAGCTCAGCTATGGCGGACGGAATTCCTAAAAACTTGCAGTCGACGTTTGATGAAGCTTGGACGACGACCAGGCCGTTGGGGCACGGCCCTCCTCCGGGCTTTTCCGGCCCATCGCAGACTCCGGTCACTCCCGCACCTAACTTGAAAGGTGTAGGAGTGAAGCCGGTGATTCCCGGAAGAGATGCCAGCTCCAGTCAGGCCCAGGAGGCTCGTGTAGCAGCAGCAGCGGCGATGCCACCACCACCACCACCAGATCCAACACAAGGGCAGGGAGGAGTGCTGGCGCAACGAGGAGTGCCACCACAGGCAGCCATACAAGCCCCCGGCCAACAAATGTGGCAATGACACGAGAGGAGATGAAGAGGATAGCGGCGGCCGCGGCGGCGCAGGCGGTGCAGCAAGTTGCGAGTCATACATCCCATGCCACCACTGCGCCGACCATGGTGGCCGGAAGCCAGGATGAGGATGTGTCTAGTTATGGAGAAGGAGGAGCTGGAAGGGATCGGGCAATGGAGAGGATGGCAGAGCAGTTGCGCCAGCTGCAAGACAAGGTGGAGGGGAGGCCAGAGAGGAGAGCTCGAGGACATCCCTTTTCAAGGGAGATTCTTGCTGCTCCTTTGCCAAAAATTTTAAGGAGACCAACTTGGTGTATGACGGGTCATCTGACCCATCGAGGCATGTGAGGACCTTTGAAAATATGGCTGTGTTGCATGGGTACTCTGATTCTGTTTGTTGCAGGGCATTTTTATCGACCCTGCGTGGAGGAGCACTCGATTGGTTTCATCATCTTCCACCTGGGTCGATCGCGAGCTTTGAGGACATTACTGGCAAGCTTATCAATCAATATTCGAGTGTGGTGGTGCAGGAGAAAACGTATTTGACTTTGATGGCAATGAGGCAGGGGGAGAAGGAATCATTAAGGAAGTATGTTGCTCGATATAACCAAACATGTTTAGAGGTGCACTCGACTTCGGACGAGGTGAAGGCGGGTGGATTGATAAGGAGTCTTCGAGCAGGGCCTTGTCGAACTTCCCTAGCAAAAACCCCTGCTCGATCATATGAGGATGTGCTGAAGCGGTGCATGAAGTATATTAACTTGGAGGAGATGGAGATGGAGTTTGCAAAGTTGGAGGGAGTGGCTCGACCAGAGCCAAAAAAGGAGAAAAGTCCGTAGAGGGGGAGATCGCCGAGGAGGAATTCGCCCAAACGGAGTGGGCACAAGAGGGCATCACCCCGAAGAGAGAGTCGAGATTCGAAAAGGGAGAAGAGAGATGAGTGGCAGAGGAGGCCGATGTTGTTCGAGAGACAGAGATACCACACTTTCACGCCCTTGAGGAAAGACATGACGGAGGTCCTCGAGGCCATGGAGCAGAAGATGTCGAGTGAGGATGTGACTTGGTCGAAGACGAGGTTTACAGGCCCAATTCGACCTAGGTCGGATATTTACTGTCGCTATCACCAGGATTATGGTCACACCACGGAGAATTGCAGATATTTGAAAGATGAGATCGAGAGGCTGATTCGAGCGGGATATTCGAAAGAATTTGTGTATCATGACCGGGTGAAAGGGAAAGGTAGGAGAAGGTGTAGGGTGGATTCGGAAGAAAGGAGTGATAGACATGAGAAGGGAGATGGCAGAGATGGTCGAGACGGTCGAGGAAAGAAGCCAAGGAGAGATGGCGATAAAGAGAGGCATAGAGGAGAAGCCCCGGTGAAGAGAGGGACGATTTACATGATTTCTGGTGGGCCAACGGATGGAGACTCGAATGGGGCCAGGAAGGAGCATGCTCGAGCTGTGAAGAGGAAGAGAGAGGAGGTGGGGATTACGGCTCGCATGGCGGTCATAAGTTTTAAAGCAGAGAATGCCGAGGGAGTGGTCCTACCGCACAACGACGCTTTGGTGATAACCGCGGAGGTTGCAGGCTTCAACGTGAAAAGGGTGTTTATTGACACCGGGAGTTCGGTGGACTTGATGTTTTATGACTGTTTCATGCAAATTAACAAAGAGCTGAATACGGAGTTGAAACTGGTAACCACGACACTCTATGGCTTTAATGGAGGGGAGGTGATGCCGATGGGTGAGGTAAGTTTGCCAGTGGCGCTGGGAGTGGGCGACTGAGAAAGGTGCGCATGGTGAGGTTTGTGGTCGTAGGGGCTGAATCATCTTATAACATCATTATGGGGCGGACGAGCTTGAACGCGTTCCAGGCGGTCGTATCCACGTACCACATGACGATTAAATATCCGGTGGGCGAAAACGTAGGGAAGATTCCTGGGGACCAGCTCACTTCGAGGAGCTGCTACCAAACGACGGTTAGCAATAATAAGCAGCTGGCGAGGAGGCAGGCCCAGTCAGAGGAGGAAAGGATTAATCGGCCAGGTGGGTCGAGATCGAAGGAGGATAAACAAAGAACGGACAAGGGCAAGGAGAAGATGGATATTCAGCCAGGGGGAGAGGTGGAGGAGATTCAGATGATCGAGGGGTGTGAAGAGAGGAAGTTCATAATTGGGAAAGACTTGGAGGAGCCTATTCGGTCGATGCTTATCGATCTGGTCAGGGAGTTCGCGGACATTTTTGCCTACACCGCGGAGGAGTTAACGGGGATAAGTGCGGAAGTGATCGAGCACCGGCTGAACATCGACCTCAGTGTGAGGCCGGTGAAGCAAAAAAGAAGACACCATGGGACCGAGATGGACAAAATCATTGAGAAGGAGGTCGAGAAGTTATTGGGAGCAGGGCATATCAAGGAAATCCAGTTTCCCGAATGGTTGTCAAATACGGTGATGGTGTCGAAGGCGGAGGGAACATGGAGGATGTGCATTGATTTCCGTGACCTGAACAAAGCGTGCCCGAAGGATCTATACCCGCTACCCAGAATCGACCAGCTGGTCGACTCAACGGCAGGGTGCGAATTGCTGAGCCTGATGGATGCCTCCCAGGGATATCATCAAATTCCTTTGACGAGAAAAGACAGGAAGCGTGTGAGTTTTGTAGCAAATCGAGGGACCTATTGTTACGTGGTCATGTCGTTCGGTCTAAAGAATGCGGGTGCCACATATCAAAGGTTGGTCGATAAAATTTTCAAGTAGCAACTGGGGAGGAACATGGAGGTATACGTGGACGATATGTTGGTGAAAAGCAAGGAGGAGTTGGATCATGTGCGAGACTTGAGAGAAACATTCCTATCATTGCGGAGATATGGGATGAAATTGAATCCTGCTAAGTGCTCTTTTGGGGTGAGATTGGGGAAGTTTTTGGGCTACTTGGTGACCAAGAGAGGTATTGAGGTGAATCCGAAGAAGGTTCGAGCTGTAATGGAGATGAAGCCGCCGACGAATGTTAAAGAAGTACAGATCTTAGCTGGTCGAATTGCGGGGCTGAGCCGTTTTATATCGAAGGTGGCGGAAAAGAGTGGTCCATTATTTAAAACATTGAAGAAGAGTGCAAAATTCCAATGGACGGAGGAGGCGCAGGGCGCCTTTGAGGAGCTGCAAAGGTTGATAGCTAACCTCCCCCTATTGGCTAAACCTGTGCAGGGCGAGGAGCTGGTGCTATACATTTCTATAGGAGACAGGGCGGTAAGCTCGGTATTGTTACGGAAGGAAGGAGTAACGCAATTTGCTATCTATTACGTGAGCAGGGTGATGCAAGGGGTGGAAATGAGGTATTCAAGGATCGAGAAGTGCGCTTTGGCTGTAGTCGTGACCGCTCGAAAGTTGAGACCTTATTTCTTGAATCATAAGGTGAAGGTGCGAACAAACATGGCGCTGGGAGAAACACTTGGCCGACCATCGGTCTCTGGTCGATTGGTGAAATGGGCGGTCGAGTTGAGTGAATATACTTTATTGTATGAACCAAGGAAGGCCATAAAGGCGCAGGTGTTGGCTGATTTTATCCAGGAAGGCACGAAAGTCGAGGGGGAGTTAGAGGGAGTATGGCAGCTGTTTGTGGACAGATCAGTGGCGCGAAGTGGGGCAGGTTTGGGAATTGTCCTTGTTTCTCCTAAAGGCGATTACTTGAAATTTGTCGTTAAAGTGGGGTTCAAAGTATCCAATAACAAGGTCGAATATGAAGTAGTAATCAAAGGCCTGAGTTTAGCCAAGGCGGGAGGAGCTCGAAAAGTACAAGTGCATTCTGATTCTCAATTGGTGGTTGGGCAATCGCAGGAGGTATTTGAAGTCAAGGAGGACCGGATGCAGAAGTATGTAGACGAGATGAGGAAGTTGAAGGAGGAGTTCGATTCATTCGAGCTGATACAAATTCCTCGAGGAGAAAATGGTCGAGCGGACCTATTATCGAAAATCGCTTAGAGCTTGGTGGACTGCAAGAGCAGAAATGTCACTTTATTGAATCTTGAAAGGAGTATGGTCGAAGCAGAAGTGGCGGAGATCGAAGAAGTGGAAGATTTGAGGGCCCCAATCTTGGAGGAGCTGAAAGGAGGAGCGATAAAAGTGGTGAAGAGGTTTTTCGAGCAGGGAGGCATTCTTTACAAACGGTCGTATGGGGGGGCCCCATTTGCGGTGTGTTACTAAGGAAGAAGGTCGATACGTGCTAAGAGAGATGCACGAAGGATGCTGCGGTGATCATAGCAAGTCGGGAGCTTTGGTCGCAAGGATCTTAAGAGCGGGATATTTTTGGCCAACGATGAGGGAAGATGTGAAAGCAATGGTGAAGAAGTGTTTGCAATGCCAAAAACATGGCCCCCTTATCCACCAACCAGCAGAAGCAATGACAACGATGAGTGCCCCTATACCATTCGCCCAGTGGGGTATCGACCTGGTGGGGCCGATGCCTCAGGGAACCGGGCAGAGGAAGTTCCTAATAGTGGCGGTCGACTATTTCACAAAATGGGTGGAAGCCGAGCCCTTGGCAAAAATAACGGAGGAGAAAGTAATCAAATTTCTATACAATAACATCTGCTGTCGGTTTGGCGTACCCAAAGTGTTGATCTCCGACAACGGCACTCAATTCAATGGTAAGCGGATTCGAGCGTGGTGCGAAGACATGAAAATGGAGCAACACTTTGCTTCCGTTGCTCATCCGCAAGCCAATGGCCAGGTCGAGGTAACCAACCGAATCATATTGAGTGGGTTGAAAACAAAGTTGGAGAAGTCCTCGGGAGCATGGGTCGACGAGCTGAGTTCTGTACTTTGGGCAGATCGCACAACACCGAGGTCGACGATAGGAGAAACCCCGTTCAGCTTAGCTTATGGAATAGAAGCGTTGCTGCCGGTCGAGGTCGAATTATCATCCCAGAGGTTGAGCACGTATGATGTTGAACAGAACGAGGAGTTGATGATGGCGGCCTTAGACACTATTGAGGAGTTGCGTGGGAAAGCATCAATCAGGGTGGAGGCATACAAGCAAAGGATGCGAGCCGCTCACGACAAAAAGGTGAAGATTCGCAGACTCCAAGTAGGCGACCTGGTTTGGAAGCGTGTCGATGTGCTCAAGCATGTGGGAAAGCTAGAGCCGAATTGGGAAGGGCCATATCTGGTCGAACGAGTGCACGCAGGAGGAGCGTACTCGCTGAAAGATGCCGAGGGCCGATCGCTTGCCAGGTCATGGAACATAGCTAATTTGAAAAAATATTATGTGTGAAAATTTTCGTTTCTTTTAAAAGGAAAGTCGAGAAATTCGAACGAAGATGTAAATTTAAAAGTTTGCTCAAGAAACAATGAAGTTCAATGATTTTTCTGATTTTATTCGCTTTATTGTACGCTTTCTTATGCTCGGAATGTTGGTGTAATATGGATGACAGGATGTGTGTGTGGTATGGTTTGACTTGGAAGTCGCTTGTTTAGAACATTCCTTGGGGTGGGCAGGTTGGTCAAAGACCTCCTGTTTAGAACATTCCTCGGGGTGGGCAAGTGTGAAGACCAAAACCCACCATGACTAAGGCCCTCGGGCTTTGTGGTCGCTTGTTTAGAACATCCCTTGGGGTGGGCAAGTTGGTCGAAGACCTCCTGTTTAGAACATTCCTCGCGGGTGGGCAAGTGTGAAGACCAAAACCCACCATGACTAAGGCCCT